TTCATGATGGTGTAAAAATGTATGTTTATGTACACATACATAAACATATACTTTTTAATATAAAACATTGATGTAAAGAATGTATAGTGTACAATTTACTCTTTATTTTAAATTTAATGTAGCCATTTTGTTTCCATAGAATTGTTTTTTTTTTTGTTTTGCTAAACTATTGTATTTTTAGCCAAGCTATGGTTGTATCTGATGAATGAATATAGTTCACATAAGAATGTTACTTGATTTTTTTTTTGTATTAATAACTAAGATTAAAGTAAAATCAGGCAGTAAGTTGTAACTTCCTTTGTTTGTCAATATCATGACCTGCTTCTTTGCTGAATCATAGGTTTTCGATACTGGAAGAATAATATTTCTTTAAGTTTTTGTGTAATGGCTATAGACATGACCTGCTTTAAGCTTAATCTGTACTGTTAACATTTTCACCATCATTTTCTTAAGTCTAAACAATCAAATAAATAATACATCAAGATGTCAACTAGTGGTGCTGATTTATTTGGTATAGTCCATCAACAGATAGTATTTCCACCATAAAGACTGAATCAGGGAAAATAACTTCAAGAGAATAAATCATAGTAAACACTATGAGAATAAACAGGTAATGAATTAGAGCATTTATTACCTTTTGAGAATATAATTTGTTTTTTAAATAATAACTATGTTTAACAAACAGATTAAAAAATTCCTGAAAATTTAATAATAGGCACTTGTTAGCTAGTACTAGCCAGCTCCAACACATCAGATTTGTGCGGTAGACATAGTCACTGACATCATGAAACTTATACTCTAGAAATGGAGGCAGAGAAATAAATGAGCATGGATTTTATAACAAGGGCCTCTAAGCCAAATTTGATGCTATAATTGTGACAGGCAGAATGTTGGCTCCCCGTGGACTTCACTCTCTGGTGTTTATGTCCATGAATAGGTTACATTAAATGGCAAAAAGATTTTGTGGATGTAATGTTGCAAAGCAATTGACCTTAAAAATTGAGAGAGTATCTTTGATTATCCAGATGTGCCTAATGTAATCGCATGAATCCTTAAAACAGAAGGCAGAAGTGGAAATCAGAGTCAAAGCACAAGGATTATCAAGGCACCATTGTTGGCTTGAAGAGAAAGAGGACCATACAGCAAGCAAATAAGGACCACAGTCCCACAACCATGAGGCACTGAATTCTGCCAATATCCAGTGAGTGTAGAAGAAGACCATAAGCCCCAGATGAGAGCTGTAGTCCTGGATACTACCTGGATTTTAGTCTAATGAGACTTTGACAAGATAAACCAACCACACTGTGCCAGACTTCTAACCTATAGAAATTGTGAGATAAATTCATGCTGTTAAAAACTGCTACATTTCTGGCAATTTGTTACACAGCAATAGAAAACTAATAACAATTAGTAAAAAAAAAATTATCAAAATAACAATTATCCAGGAAGAGCAGGGAAAAGAATGCTTCAGCACTTTTGGGGATTTAGAGGTGTTGAATATGCCTGAGTGGCATGTACAAGAGAAAGAAAATTGAGAAATCAAGATGGAAAAGAAGTGTTCCATCATGAAGAACATCTTAAGCTAGGAGAATATTCTGAATATTTTCCCAAGAGCAAAGGGAACCGATACATCATTTGTCATGATCAATTTGTGTTTATGGAAGATGGATGAAAAGGGTGTTGAATGGCAGGAGGCAGATCATTTAGGAGGCTCAGATCAAACAAGCATGGTGAGGATAGAGAAAAGTGGATTGTGGTGTCTTACCCTGTATACTCACTATTGTCTACTGTTTGTTCTTTCTCTCTTCTGCTTTTTAGTTGTGCTCGACAATCACTGTTTTAGTACCCTATGCCAGGTACCACGCCAGGCAGTGTGGATACCACTTCAGGCTCCCAGACCTCGGTAGGGATCATGTTGCTGCCTTTTTTCCCCCAGAAGCTGTGTAAAGTCATGTAAATACATAATTTATGAATTTGAAAAACTAGTTCTGCCACTTATAAAGTGCACAACCTAGGGCAAGTCACTTAACCTCTCTGAGTTTCACTTTCCTGATTTGCAAAAAATTCCTTTAGCTACTTCAGAAGGCAATCGTGGCCAGGCACAGTGGTTCGTGCCTGTAATCCCAGCAGTTTGGGATGGCAAGGCAGAAGAATTACTTAAACTCAGAAGCTCAACACCAGCCTCGGCAACATAGTAATACCCTGTCTCTATTAAAAATAAAATAATAAAATAAAATAATAAAATAAAATAGAAGGCTATTGTGAGGATCAACTATAGGGTACATAAAAACTTTAAAAGTCATAAATACTTTCCAAATGGTGGGCTGTCTTCTCTTCATCTCTTTTTACCTTCCATGTGCTCCAGCTTATCCCATATTCTTTCTTTCTCCCATGTCTCTTTCACTGTTGTTAATAAATTAGTTCAATGAATAATTAGAGTCTATTATATACTATTCACTCAGCTGGATGTTTTTATGTGGTTGTTTTACACATTCTCTCACGCACATACCTACACACACACACACACACACACACACACACACACACCCACTTGTTGTTCCTCCAAGAGCTTACTCTCTCAAGCTTAAGGCTAACAACACTCATATTTTTAAGTAAAATATAAAAGTAGCTGCAAAATATATAAGATTTGGCATACCTACATTTGTGTTTATATAGGTGTGTTCTGTGAAAGAGAACAAGATAGAGAAAAATGTGACTATATACATAGAACCAAACATTGGAAAATATACCTCAAAATGTTAGTATATTTCTCTCTGAATAATTTCCTCTTTTTTCATATTTTTCTGTATTTTTCAAATCATCTACTATAAATGTACTTTGTGAATAGAAAAATAACTGAAAACATTTTAATAAAAATATGAAGTGGCAAATATTATAAAGGAATTACATGTAGGATGTTATGGGTCTACGTAAAATTTTTTTTTCAGAATTAAATGATGCCAGAATGGAGATGAATATAAATTCTGCAGGAAAGAACCAAGGGAATGGCATTCTAGGAGGAGGATCCAGGAGAAGTAGAGGCTCAGCATGGAGTGGTCAAGAAGCACTATCAGGTGTATACAGTTCCTGTTGCCTGAAGTGCAACTTGGGGTAGAGCAGGAGACAACTCCCGAGGAAGTAGAATATCATGCTAGGGGTCTTAAATTGTATCCTACAGGGGCTAAGGCATTTGATCAGGGGATTCACTAATAGTCATACTTGCATTTTTGGTAGATTATAGCAGTAGTAGTGTGACATATGGAGAAAGAAGAGGCTAAAGGCAGGTGAGAAACACAGAGACTGCTCAGGAAACCAGTTTCAGGTAAAAAAAAAAAAAAAGATGAAGGCCTGAACTAGGACATTATATTGGGAATGGAGAAAAACATTTTACAGATGATGAGGAAATATTTAGGGCTTAATTCCTGTCCTTCTTAGGTCATACTGTGTGGCTCAATTAGTAACACCAAAACTCACATAAGAGAATACTTGTATGCATACATATTGTGCCTGCATAATTTTCCCACTGGAAGAAGGGTCTCAAAGGGGATGGGAAGGCCAAGAACTGACAATGAAGATTTCATAATCTCTCTTTGGACTAACTTCTGCAAGCCCAGATGAGGCATTTGGGGTGAGAAATTCCCACCCTCTGTCTCAGAACCAGGCTGTGGAAAGACGAGAAAGAGCAATGAGTTAGGGAGAGGATTCCAGAGAAAGACCTATAGGACTTGATGGCAGATAAGAACAGATGAGCAAATGTGGAGTCATGTGATGGTCACAGAACAGGCTGTGCAGAGACACCCTTTTGGAAGAAAGAGAGGGAGTACTTTTGAGTCATTTTTAGTTTCTGCGGCAGCAGGATTTCCAACTGGCATAAAGATAGTCAGGAATGAACAGAAACAGTGAAGGGCCGGAGTGTGTCATGAGAACAGGGTGTCAGGACTGGTTTGCTGTCAGCTGGAAACAACTTGGCTGTCCCTGCTGAGGAGGGACCCAGGGCATAGGGAGGAGAGGATTTTCCAACTCTCTCCAGCCCATGTTTCACCATATTCAGTATCTGCCTTATGTTTGGGCCAAGTGAGCAAATGCTTTTGTGGTTTAATTTTGAGGCTTCCTCTTAAACTTCTCTTCTTGGTCATACAAACAAGAAGAATCTAAAATTATCCAAGTCAGGAGCAAATCTTCTCCTTCCTTACAGTGAATATAGGGATTCAAATTCAAACTGAGCCATAAATGACTGATCTCAGCCTTCCTACTAGCAAGACTTGATGGGCATGAAGGAGATAGGATGTTGGTAGGAATAAGAGAATCCTAATACAAGATGGAGAGGGAGAGCAGAAAGGAAGTGTTCTGGAGACAGTAAGGCTTTGCAGTAAGTGCAAAGAGCCTGGGTCTAGAAGTCTGAGGGACCTCTGACACTTGTCTCCTGGGGTGATGCCCAGATAGGATCATAGCATCATTTATTGAAGAACTCTCTGAATTACGTTGCTTGGGGAAGTCAAATCTGGACTAGTCTAAGGTGCTAGACTACCTTAAAAATCCCTAAGATGCTTTCCATTTTCATAGTCAGACTCTATGGACAAGGAGGACTAAAAACAACAAATATTTAAAGCTTTTGCAGAAAGTTAGAGGAACTCTACAAAAGTGAGTTTTCCACAATGAGATAACAGAGGATTTAAGCTGAACCAGCATAGAAGACCCTAGGTTAAAGTCATAAGAGTGTACTATTTTTCAGTGAGAACTGTTCTAATTTTCAAAGGGCCATTCCTGCACTGGTTCATCACTAAAATATATTTGGCATTTGGGAGAGTGTGTTTTTACTCAAAGGACAATCATTTATTAGGTGAAAAGCCCCAAAGCACAGGAAATGTAAGATAGCAGTAGGGATAGGGGGCCAGGGCTGCTCTTGACCCCAAAGTCTTCAGAATGACTGCTAGGAAGTAACCTGTCAGTGGCCTCCAGGAACCTGAAAACTGGAGGAACCGCTTTTCTGAGAAGTCATACTCAGCAGACATACCACCCACAGTTTCCTGTTAGCAGCTTGTCCAACTAAGACAAGAGCAGCTGTCTTAATTCTTCCTCTCTCTCTCCATCAATGAGGCTCAGAAAAGCCAGCAATTTGCCTTTATTCTTCAGAGGACAGCTCTCTCCCAGTGGTAAACACTCTAATACACTCCAGGGGACTTTTGTTTGTTTGTTTGTTTACTGACTTTCTAAAAAAATTTCTTATCTTTATCAGATTTTGTTTTTAGAGTAGAACTGTAGACAATGAAATAGAATGAGGTTGTCTTTATCATTTTAATGCTGGTTAAGCCTATTGGGATATGCAATAAACATTTATCTTATTGTTGTTGCTGTTGTCATTAATAATTTGTTTGGGTTACACTCTTCTATCAGCTAGTTTTTTTTGTTTGGAGTGGCTGAAATTGACCTGGATTGGGGGGATGTGGGTGGAGTAGAAAAGTCAAAAAGGTGGATAGGATTTCTGTATTAATTGGAGCAGATCATTTGATGAACAATTTCAAAACTGTTTTTTTTTTTTTTTAAAAACAGACTAGACCAAGCATTAAAAACTGAATTTTAATTATCTACTGGAAATTTCTCTAGAATAAAGGGTCTGATTCAGTTTCTATATTGCCTCTATGGGTCCCAGTCTATGAAATGCCAAGGGTTGGACTGACCAGAAGTCTTCAGATTACCTCTCTCTCCCCTCCACCCCTATTGCTTCTTGTCTACCATATTCCATAGTGCCGGCCGGCAAAGTGTACCTGTTTAATTCTCTAGGTTAGAAAAAATTTCCTAGATTTTTCTCTTCATCTTTCTATGTACAAATGCAACCTACTTTTTAAAACAAAGACAACAGGCTGGGCATGGTGGCTCACGCCTGTAATCTCAACACTTTGGGAGACCAGGTTGGGCGGATCACTTGAAGCCAGGAGTTTAAGACCAGCATGGCCAGCATGGTGACACCTGTCTCTACTAAAAATACAAAAATTAGCTGCGCATGGTGGTACACTCCTGTAATTCCAGCTACTCAGGAGGCTGAGGCAGGAGAATCACTTGAATCCGGGAGGCGGAAGTTGCAGTGAGCTGAGATCGCACCACTGCACTGCAGCCTGGACAACAGAGTGAGGCTGTCTCACACAATAACTAACTAACTAAATAAAATAAAAAAATAAAATAAAATAAAACAAAACACAGACAACATACCTCCTTCATCATGAAGCCTCCTTTAATTCTTACAAACAAACAAAACCTTCCTAAACTTTCAAAGGGCGTTTAAGAATACATACCAGTGTTTCAGTCATCTTTAAGGAAAATTTAGTGCATGCTAGGTTCTGGGTTAAGCATTTTACATTTATTAACATATGTAGGTAGATACAACTTTTATCTCCATTTTGCATTTGAGCAGAAAGGTGCAAAGATGATAAAGTGACTGGCTCAAGGCTATAGGTAAATGGCTGAGCCACTTATTTGCTGTATTAATGGAGATCATGTCCTTCATCCTTTACTAATGTTTTTACCATGTCTTATCCATACCTCATTAAGTCTTTACATTTTAACCATTTATCAGCTAATGTATCTCAAGAACATTCTAGTGATGTAGCTATGACCATTTTCTTCATTTTATCATTTTTTTCATCTGTTTTCAGGCTATAACAAAATGTAATAAACTGGGTAGTTCAGAAGCAACAGAACTTGATTTCTCATCGTTCTAGAAGTTAAGGAGTTCATGATCAAGGTAGCAGCAGAGTTGGTGCCTGGTAAGGACCCATTACGTGGTTCATAGATGATGCCTTTTCGTGGTGACCTCAGATGATGGAAGAATTGAAAGAGCTCACTTGGGCCTCTTTTATAGGGGAACAAATCCCATTTCCTAGGGTTCTACTCTTATGACTTAATCACCTCCAGAATGTCCCACCTACCAACACCATTACTTTGGTGACTAAGTTTCAACCTATGAATTTGGAGAGGACACAAACATTCAGACCATAGCAATCAATGAGTACAGCTTCCCCAGTCCATGGGAAATATGTTGCTGAGCAAAAATTGGACCAGGTAGTTTGACTAAGGATTGCATCCTTCCCATGCTGCTGCACAGCCTTGCCTAGCCTCAATCAGAGTCAGCGTGGCCATGCTTTTGTAGGCCAGAACTTCTCCTTTACCACAGCCACCTGAAGGACTAAATTGTGGAGATGGGCATGGCATGGCCCACACTGGCCTAGGCTTAATTTAAAAGCATCCTGAAAGAGGGTGTGGGCAGATCCTTCTGAAGTTATACTACTTCCAACAGAATTGGGGGTATCGCTTTATTATTGGCCCATTATTGTTGGTCATAAAATATCAGGAACCAGGTCAATGTAAAGATTATCCAGTGGCTTTCACTGGCCCAAGTCTTGGTATTGGTTCACAGAATGGTTTCTCCTCTTCTCTGAGAATGGAATAATGGTTCAGTCCCATTTGGCCAATATACACTGTCTTAGCTTGCAGTGTTATAACAAGATGCTATAAACTATATCGTTTAAATAAAAATTTATTTTTCAGTTTTTTGAAGGCTGAAAGTCTAACATCAGAGTGCCAGCATGATCAGATTCTGGAGAGAACCCTCTTCTGGTTGCAGACTGCTGACTTCTTTTTGTATATTCCAATTGTAGAAAGAAAGCAAGATAACTCTCTGGCATCTTTTTTTATAAGGGGGCTAACCCCATTTAAGGGGGCCCCCCTCATAATCTAATTATCTCTCAAAGGCCATAACTTTCAACACCATTGCATTGAAGGTTAGGATTTCAACATGTGAATTTGTAGTGGGGTGACTGAGAGAGGAACACACAAATATTTAGTCCATAATGCTGCATACTAACAAAAAAATGAAGTGGGGTAAAGGGTCACTTAAGTGAATCCCTGCAGTATTAAAGGACACATTATAGTTCATTCATCCTTTTAGTCAGTAAATATTGAGCACACACTATGAGCTAAATTTTAGGTGCATGTTAGAGCTTTGGTGGTACCACAATAAAATAGACTTTGTCCCTATCCTCAGGGATTTTATAATTTTGTGAAAGAGATATGCAGATAGGCAGTTAACATGCAAGTGGTGATTGCTCACAAAGAGAAAAGCAGGGGGCTATAAAATTAGAGAAGCTAAGTGCACTTACCCTGTGTGGAGCTGGATACAGAATGTTTGCTAAAGGAAGTGGTGCGAAGTAGATTTAGATGAAGAAGAAGGTGGTGATGAGAGGACAGAAGTGATCAAAGGAATGAAACGTAGAAGAAAGGAAATAGTACACAAGAAGCTGGAGGAGAAAGGAGAAAGCACACTTCCTGGCAAAAGGGATAGCACGCACATAGGTTAGAGGTAAGAGGGTACAGCAAGGCTGCCGAGGCCCTGGGAGCTCAGCATGGTTTGAATGCAGTTGTACAGGAGGACTGGCATACACTCTGCTTCTTGGAGGTTACAGCAACTGCTACTCTCTGAGGGTTGTGTTACTTATCTATCCACTCATCTAACAACATGTCATAACACACTAAGGGAATTCCTCCAGATCTTTGGACAAAAATGTTCTAACTTGGTTCAAAATAATTTATACTCAACATTCTTAGTATCTTGCTTTGAAAATAAATGGATGACCTATAGTGTTCTGGCTACTGTGCTGTGTAACAAATTGCCCAACTGTAGCAGCTTAAAATGACAATTATTTTATTACGTTCACATAAGTGTAGGTCAGGGGCTCATAAAGGGCTAAGGGAGGAAGTTTGTCACACACCTATGGTGTGAGGCTACCTCCTAGACAAAACAAATAATGGACCACTTGGCTTGTTTAGTGAGTGCGTGGTAAGCAGGGGCATGTGAGAGTTTGCTTAAAGGCAGACTTCCCCCTCTGGTCACGTTGGTCCAGCCCATTCAACTGGGCCTTGCCTGGCCTTCCAGTTTCTGAATTCCTACTTAGCATCCAAGATGGCTTGACCCTCATTCTGCACCAGAGTTTATAAATGGACTTTTGTGACTGGACCAAGCTTCTAATGCCACAATGGCTCTGCCTGCCTACTCTTCTACTCTATATGTTTCATTCTTCTTCCCTTCTGCTCAGAATTAAGTCTGAATTGAATGCTGCAATAGTTTCATAGATATTCTCACAGATATAGATATTCTCATAGGTATTCTCATATATCTTGGTTCATTCCTGAGGGTTCTTGAACCTCTCTGTTATTTTTACTTCTTTCAACCCTGCGCAATTTGAGAAAGCTTATCAAAGCTGGGAGTAGGAACCATGTCTCATTGGTTTCTTTTAAAATTTCTATTTAAAAATATTTACTTATTTTTTGAACAGGTAATATATTCACATAGATAAAAACCCCAAGATGAAAGTATAAATAAATCGGTTCCCTTCCACCATACCCTGTGCATCATAAATCCCCCCAATTTGTCTAGTACAGGTTCTCAAAACATTTACTGAATTTTTGTAGTCAAGTTCCTCGATATATACGCCTAGTACATCAGTTGGATTTACTATAAAGCTGATGAATCTTAAGCCTCAGGGCTCCTCACCTGCTGGGGCTCCTTCCAGGTCCTCTTCCAGAATCATCAACAACTTGTTTCTATGCTTTTGTAAAAGATGGAATTGTAATACATTTTAACCACATCATTTCCATCTGTTGCCCCTTTCCACTGCAACCCCTTGGCATGCTCTGCCTCCTGTAAGGGGAGCATTAGAGTAGCCTGTGGCAACTTTAGGATATAGAGAAGGGGAAATCGAAATGGGAATACATTTTATTTGGGTTTAGTGAGAGTTTGTGAACTTTGCAGTCTTTTTGTGAACAGCTAAGTAATGGTTAAGTATAGCAATGACTGTCAGTTCTATTCTTAACTGCTTACCATGCAGTTTACCTAGTATCATGATGTGAACCTGCAGGGCCAGACTTATTTTCTATATATAAAAGTGCCCTATAGCATCTACAATTGGGGTTACGTAATGGAAAAGAAGATAGTGTTTATTAATACGAATATTGTTATTTTTCTGAATTTTGTGATCAGCGCTTTTATACTTGCAATTTTTTTCCCATTTCTTTTCTTCATTTCATAAACACTTTTCATACAATTTCTTTGTTACTTTATGTTCCTCTTTTCTTAGTGAGGTGTCCAAAATTGTAAGAATGCTTTATCCCACAAAAAAAAATTGATCCTCTCTTTTACAGAATTTCCCAGCTGATGTCTTTTTCATTTCCTTTGCTTGTGGTTTGCCCATCTGTCAGCTGTGAATGACCCAAACAAGACATGTGGTTTCTTGCTCAACAGTCCTGGAACTTTCTTGACCTTTGACAAAGCCACCAGATCACCATTACCATCATTATTGTTTACAGAAACATGAAAATTCAACCATAAAATGTCATCTTGGGCTGAGCATGGTGGCTCTAACATGTAATCCCAGCACTTTGGGAGGCTAAGGTGAAGAGATCACTTCAGACCAGGCATTGAAGATCAGCCTGGGCAACACAGCCAGATCTCGTCTCTACAAAAAATAAAAACCAAATTAGCTGGACCTGGTATGCATCCCTGTAGTCCTAGCTACTCCAGCAGCTGAAGTGGGAGGATCATTTGAGCCTCAGCCTCTGTAGGACTACTGCCCAGTAGTGTGAGTGGTGTGAGCTCACACCACTGCACTCTAGCCTAGGCAGCAAAGTGTAACCCCATCTCCAACCAAAAAAAAAAAAAAAGAAAGAAAGAAAGATAAAAGAACAAAGTCATCTTGGCTATGCCAATGACAAAGTTAATGAGTTGAGAGATGAAGAAGACAAAAAGGAAAATCTTAAAGACATTGTCAATTGGGGCAGGAGGCAGGAGATGGCTTCTTTGTTGCACTTTCTCCAAAAAACATTTCTGGTTTTAGTTCCAATTCGCTCAGCAGTGTATGCTCACTCTTTTGCTAACCCTGAGAGACATTGTCAGATGTGCGTAAGGGAAGAACATGAAGGACGACAGATAAACTGTACACCGACACAGCACATGGAGTCTGAGTCATTTGTTTTCTTTGACAGATCTTTACCATGCTGGATTGAAAGAGAAAAGACCATCAGTAAAGCAAATGGATCAAATGGAGTTATAAATCAACTCTGTACTCTTTACAGGATTGACTCAACTGCAGACATCTCCAATACACACCCTCATGGCTTTATTTTTTTCTGCTTATGTGGAAAAATAACAGTAAATACAGTTCACTATTCCAAGACAGAAGAGTATTATTAAAAAAAAAAACAATGTTATTGATTTTTCAAGACATAAGCAGATTATTTTTAAACTCTGATTTAATAAAACATAATGTAATTTCTTTTATGGGATTTTTTATGCTTTCTCAATGTTTATTACCCTGTGTGTTTCACACTTCAAAATGAGAGTATCCAAATAAGATCACTTAAGAGGATCCTGATGTAAGTTACAAAATCCCCATGGCTGTTATATCCCCATTGTCACATTTCCCCAGTCATCTCTTTCTACTTTATTGGATCTGTTACACTTTATACTTATTCTTGTTTTTCTATTTACTTTATATATACAATATAATGGGGTACATAGTATAAGAGGAAGGATGGCACTAGAAAATGTTTCTAAGTTGGTTTAGGGAATGGGAGTAAGGGTAGGAAGTTAGGAAAGCTTCTTAGAAAGTTATTAAAGCTTTTTAAAGCAGGTACTATGGCTGTTTTGTTATCCATTCTCTACCTAGCATGTAAGGGTTCTTGACATTCGGGAGTTATTGTGATACAAGGAAGGGATATATGAGTAGATAAAAAATTATTTTCCAGGGAGACAACAGCATATTCAAAGAAGAAGGAACAACAGAGATCTGTATTTGTTGTTCACTGAAGGCCTACAGTGCGCTAAAAATGCTATATGGATATGGTTAAAGATAAATTTGAGTAGTGACCACTTTAGTAAACACATCCACACCAGACCTGACAGCTTCACAGTTTTCAGCAATATTCAAAAAGAGGTCATTTACTTGGAAGGAACCAGGCAGTTGGCAATATAATTGGGCTACAGCTGAAACCCTCAAACCTCTAAATTGCAATTTGTATCAGGAAATAAGTTCCCTTTGTTATTTGAGTCAGTTTGAGGTGGGTTTCTTTTATTTGCAACTGAAGCAACTGAGCTTTATGTCAGATAAAATAAAGATTAAAAAGGAGAAAAAGTGACATGTTCTCACAGAGCTGTTTTAAATGTGGTGTGAAGAACAACAGCAATAGCAGTACTCCCTTGGAACCAGAGAGAAAATTCTTGGGCCCCATCTGAGACCTGCTGAATCTTTGTGGGGGCAAGCTAGGGCTCCTCATTTAACAAGCCTTCCAGGTGATTTTTATGCCGGCTGAAATTTGAGACCTGCAGTCATGTGAGTTCCATAATCTGCATTTCTAATAAGCTACAGGTACTCCTGGAAGGCAGGCCACCTTTTAAGTAGCACTGCTATAAAATATTCTGTTTATTGAGTGGGCTCAGGCAAGGGCTTCAGAACTTCAAGGGATGCGTACTGTTTTCCTCACCAGAGGTAAGTTCCAACTAACTGTGAATGCATTCAAGCTAGTTTCTTCCAGAAGGAAGAAGTGAAGCAGCTGGGAGAATATCTCTTCTCTGTGTCAGCAGATCAACAATAAAGAAATGTTTATCCCGCCGAGTGTGGTGGCTCACGCCTGTAAAACCAGCACTTTGGGAGACCGAGGCTGGCGGATTGCTTGAGGTAAGGAGTTCAAGGCCAGCCTGGATAATATGGTGAAACCCCATCTCTACTAAAATACAAAAATTAACTGGGCATGATGGTGGTCGCCTGTAATCCCAGCTACTGAGGAGGCTGAGGTAGAGGTGCTTGAACCCAGGAGGTTGCGGAGGCTGAGGTTGCAGTGATCCGAGATTGCACCACTGCACTCCAGCCTGGGAGACAGTGCGAGGCAAAAAAAAAAAAGTTTATTCTCTCATGTTCTTTGACTACTAGCAACATGTATCAGTCTTTAATGATGATGAACAAACAAAAAGTGAAAATATTCTGAGTAATTTAAAGATGAAGAATTCAGTGCAGCTTGCAGCAGCAGAAATGTGTAACCCTTCTCTTTAGAGTAGTACCGCTGGATGACTTAGTTACAAAGATCTTGTACTCTTGTGTATCTTCACTTATGTCATTCCCAGCAGGAAAAGGCAGATCAGCTTAGCACTGGACCCTGTTGTCACCCATGTGTTTAGAGTTATTGGGAGTTCATGATTGGCTGACTCAGGAATCACATGCAGCAGCTGAGATGCTGTTCCGCTAAAGAGTTGCTGGAGCTACAAAAACACAGATGTTCACGATAATGCCTTTAATACAGAAAAATAAATAAAAGTAATGTATGGAATAGAAAGTTATATAAGAAAGCCAAACGCCGAGTCATCAGAATGAATTTTGAAAAGTTATGACACTGATCTAATGATGTATATATTTAAGAAGAATACAAATGGATAGCATATAGTAGTTATTGGGTATTCATGGTAGGCATGATGCTTGTTTTATATGCAGCAGGATTTCTCAATCTGGGCACTATTTACATTTATTTCCTGTTTTTTGGCAGGGTGGGGAGGTGTCTTGTACATTGTAATGTGTATAGCAACATCCTTGGTCTCTGCTCACTAGATACCAGTAGCTCCCTCATTCCTCACTCATGACAAACACAAATGTCTCCAAACTTTGCCAAATGTTTCCTGGTGTCAAAATTGCACTTGGTTTAGATTGAGATAAATTAGATCTTGGGAAACACATGCTCTAGTAAGAATAATTTTCAAATAATTTTGGTTAAAATACGTCTTGCCTTTGAACATAGGAGGCAGGGACCCGTTATCAGTGATTAGTAACTTTCTACCGATTCATTTAGATGAAAATGAATGTAAACATCTTTATCTTTCAGGAGATGTCCTATTTTTCCAAAGCATGTATTGTATAGGGGAAAGATAAGTTTTGGCAAAACGGTTAACCATTTCTCGCTCTTTCTGACTTGGTGGCATTTGAAAATATAATGCTTTCTGAGGTTTGGGTAGAAAGTTGAAGGAAGTAAAGACACTACAGATCCCAGGTGGTATATTCAACATTTCCTCCTATCCAGAAGACTTTAAAAGAGAAAAATGATCATGGAGTTGAACATTTGGCTCCCCAGATGGTATTGGCAATCATTTGAATTTCTGGACCATGGCCTGAGATATTGGAATGATGAAACCTGGATAACATAGCTCAGTTCACTAAAGGAGGGGGACACTTGCTTGTCTGTACTAGCTCTTCTCAATATGAGGTCTGCAGAATACCAATTCTTGGGCCTTATCACCAACTTACTGAGCTCAGCAGGAAAAGGGGATTGGAAGACCCTGAGTTAACATCTGTAAATTAGCTTTACAGGTGCTCCTTATGCATTATGAGTTTTGAGAATGTACGGCCTACTAGATAGTTTTTTTTGGTCAATTAACAGCACTAAACTAGGGAGAGGGTGAGAGAAAATAAGATACAGAGTAATGTAAAGAAAGAAAAATATCAAGTATTTTATAATTCTAAAAAATAAAGGCTAGAAAGGGTATATGTTCATATTCACATGTGAAATTGAGATTAGCACATCAGGCAATCGATATTAATTTATTAAAATTACTGAGACTTTCTGGGTTGAAGCTCAAAATTGGAAAATGGTGGTTTAAGGGTAAGTTCTTTCCAAAAACGTACATTTTTGTAGTGTGGGAGTATCAGATCCCAAAGTGCAGGTCCAGCCCATGCTGCGGTCCGAGGGGAGTGAGTGGATGGGCAGAAAGAAGAACACTCGGGGGTCTGGGGGTGGAGTGCCGGAGGGTGGAGGGGGCGTAGTCAGGTGAATATGGTTTTATTCAGCAGCAGCTGTCATTAGCAACTTACTTACACTAGCTCTTTACACTGTGCACCTTTATCTTGGCCATCTACTCCAGTTCTGTGGCTCCTGCTGCCCCCATGCCTGCAGCTGCTGCACCACTGGGCTGACTGTCCCTTGCCTTCAGGGTTAGCAGCTTAATCTTTCCCTCCCTGTGCACCAGTGCAAGCCATGCTGTGGCTCTCCTCTGTCTGCAAGATGGATAACTTTCTCTCTCTCTCTCTCTGGGCACCAGAGCTTGCACAAGAGCCATGTTGAGCCAAGCTGAGCCCCAAGAGCCCCTGTACAGTGTTAGCAGGGCAATTATACCTTTTACAGACAATACTGGCTCAGAGCCAAGTATGAACTGATACAAACAGGTTATATAACAAATGGAGGTGTGCACCTGTGTGCCAAACTAGCTGAGTCATGCAGGCCTGGATATCTGCCTTGGCCTATCCTTGACCAAAGCACGTCCATGCACCTTACACTCCACCCCCTAGGCCGAGGGAGACATAGGTTTTGGACACACAGGTTATGCATATAAACTTTGCGCACACAGGCCCAGTACATATATATAGGATTGACACATAAGCTTTGGGCACACAGGCCTGATACTACATAAGCTTCTGGGCATGCAGGCCCATTACATATACAAACTTTGATAAACTGCCCAGCTATTGGCGCAGATTACCACAAGTGTCACCTCCTTGGTGATACCACATTTCCCTGAGTTTAGCTTATTGGCAACTTTGCCTATACCTGGTTTTAAACCATATGGTGTCAGTACTAGGCTGGGCTGTACCAGCAGTCCAGGGAGCAGTAGCACCCCAGCTAGACCCAACAGTGTACCATGCTCTATTAGGAATGGGGGTCGCCCTTCCTAATGGTGAAGGCTCAGGGTCTAAGAGTACCTCAGGCCCCATGGCATTATCTTGTATTAGGACTGCAGGCCCTGAAACGTCTTGTAACTCGGCTGCTAAGGGACTTATACTTGGCATACTCCGCTGCTCTAAGTAGGCTCCCTACTTCATTAAAGTGGATATCTGTGCCATCCCTGTTCAGGGGCTCATTACCCATGAATGCACCCATCCAGCTAAAGGGTAAGTTGTCTGCATGATGACTGTAACCCGTCCTGCCACGCTTTTATGGGCCTGAAGGGCAGCATAGGCAGTCATTAATTGCTTTCCCAGTCCAGGGGCTGGTTACCGAGGAACACACCCATCCGGTCATTACTGCTTGTTTATTAAGGAACACCAGAGTTCAACTCCCTTCCACAGCTGAGATTAACAGCCCACTGGCACTTCCAATCACTCCATGCACTGCTATATGCCCTAGCCAAAACTATCTGTGGTTAGATGTAAATCTAGTCTAAATGGGCAGCCTTGATTGACTACACAGAAAGGGTGTCTTAGCCTCATCATCCTAATTCCAGGCAAGAGAGGACACTGCCAGTTTTCAGCCTGCAAGAGGATCAGAGGTTAACATTACATTAACAAAATCACAACATATGTTGGGGCTATACAATAGCCCTGCAGCAACACTGTGGAAGTTCATTGTTGCCCTTCCATGAAGGCAAAC